TCCTTATATGTCCACCATGTCCGGCTTATGTCCTCACATAGGCACGTGCCGCTAGATCGCGGCGAATACATCTGGCTAAACTTGTAAATGTCCACGATGATCGAGCACAAATCGATTCGCAAGAAAACGCATTGGTGATCACCACACGATTACGCACCTGGGGCGGTTTGGCACACACGATTCGAGCGAAAGCAAAAAGTTAGCTTCGAGAGTTCCGGTCAGATCGCGGCTGATCCACGGGCTAGATAGCGGCCGCTGCCCCGCGCCCGTGTAGAGAGATACCCTGGAGGCAGCCACAGATGTGCCCACACGACCAGCAGATTTAGTCTTCACGGTTGATTCCGTAACCGGGCCTCTTCTCCGCGGCGTGGCATAACAAGCTCCCCGGTGCAATGAAGGGACACGCATAGCTGAAAGATGCTGCGAAATGACCGTCGGTCGAGATATTTGCGAGCGGTTGAAAAAAGGTTTCAAAATCATTTTAGTTTCGTTATTGAGATTGACAGTCTTAACTCGGCTGAGCTCAGAAGGCATCTCTGAATATCTCATACCGTCCGAAAAGTTCAAACCCAAGCGTTCGATACCGTGACTCGGGCATTGTCGATGATTTTCTGGTCGCTATGAACGACGACAGGGAAAATTGGCATCTAGCAGAAAGAAACGTCATCGAGGACAAAAAAGGCAAGAAACGCGACAAAATCCTAGCGACTCCCGTCTTCGTGAGTCACACATTTGTATATCAACGATGATACATTGGAAACGAGGCCGATGTTTTCAGAGCGTGGTATTCTCCAATATCATCTTTAACTTATCACAGGACAGTAGCAAATACGAGCCGGCGTCCAACTGGCGCTGCCTTGGCCTTAACGTACCCGACCTTATGTACTTTGGCCAAAAGTTCAATTAGTTAGTTATTTTAATTCGTATATTCGAATCGACTGGCTGTATTTCCGTTTTGGTGCCTGAGAGGACGTTCATACGCTATGCACAACTTGTTTTTGCTGTACGGTGCAACGCCTGTGAAGATCTGCTAAAAAGAAGAGGGTCTATCGTACACGAAGCGTTGATTTCTGCACACTGGCTTCCTGCATAGCCAAAACGACCGTTTAGCATGTAAACCCGATATGGGCAAGCGATATGAGAAAGCCACTTTCGGGCCCGCTGGCAAACTTTACGAGACGCCGTGTGTTGTGAAACAATCCAAGAAAATATAAGTGTATTTCTCTATAGGCCTGCACGTACGACTCGCAAGGTATCACATCACAATCACATACCGACAGATCAGATATCAGTGACACACGTTTTCAGCAATTCACGCGACTCCGGAAAAAATACGCATCGCTACAACGCTGGACCATACGTTCATCCCTCCTCTGTTCGGCGCCCGCGAACAGCCGTACGAGGCACGGAGGGATATTGGCGCACACCCTGAGAGCCAAGCAAGATACAGCCTCATTTTGATGATCGCAACATGTCCCATGATGAGAGAAATTCACCGGAACAATCGGCGCGAGGCTATTCGCGGCAGACTAACAATTCTGAGAATCTGCTGCTCAATTTTCGCCCCCGAACCTATGATCAACTATGAGTTCCCGCAAATAGAAAACAGCGTCTTTGACAGGACGATGCCAGAGGCGTGGTACAATATATATTTCGCCATGAAGTACATGTTTTTCACATTCTGCCCGTCCATCACGGAAAAACTATGAGAAGGAACTCGCAACAGCTCTGAGGCTTCCGGCCTTCTCGTGATGGGGTTAAGACCACCACCGGCGTGTTCCTGCCGGTTCAGTTTGGCGAAAAACATGTACCTGGGGTGCACGTTTAACGTGGATAACACGAAATGCACGCGTCGACTTTGTCGCTCCCATATCCTTAAGCAGATTGCCAAACGCTCGCCCACCAACGCATCACACGCGAGCCTCCCGCTCGCCACCGGAGCAGTCGCACCGAAGTTTTGCTTCGTCACAGCTTAAGACCGCCATCGCTGGAGCGCCTACCACTATATCACCACCATGGCCGCGCCGCCTGCTAGAAGGCGGGCCGGCGCAACCAGCCTCTCGGCCCTGAGCTGCCATCCCTGCCCCGGCACACCACGCCGAGCTGCGACGCCGGGGGGGGGGGGGGGGGGGCGAACATCACGCTAGTCCCCGTCGCACAGCGCGTCGCTGGCCCAGACGCCGCCGCCGCCGTCCGGCCTGGCGTGATACAGGTCCAGCTGGAGGCGGCCCGGGCCGCCGGCCGCCGACGGCGTCTCACCCAGCACGCGCGCCAGCAGCAGGCCGCGCTGCGCGAGCGCCACGAGCCGCGCCACGGCGGCCAGCGGCCAGCGGCGCGGCCGGCCGTCGGCGGCGGCCAGTGAGCAGCAGACCGCCTGCGCCGGCAGCTGCTGGAAGCCCCGCATCAGCTCGCGCAGCTCCTCCAGCGGCACCGGCTCCGTGTGGCCCCAGTCGGTCAGGAACACCTGGCGGCCGAGAGGCGCACGGGTCACGGCCGCGCCGGCGAGACCACGTCGCGGCACAGGCCGTCGGACGGAGACCCTGGCTAGCCAGGAGTGGCTGGGGCCAAGGACGAGGTCAAACAGGAGCCGTGGCGCCGACAGCCGGCCGCGCCACGGCAACGTCGGCCACTTGGGAGGCTCAGAAATACTGGAGGGAAGCCCAGCTCTGTACCAGTGAACAGGGAACGCTAAAAAGGGTGATCCTTCACATCACCTGGACACAGCGCACACCGGATGCGACTGATATTCAAAGGTCGCTGAGTCCCAACGCCACCTGCCACCCTCGGGCTGCCGCACTGACCCCGCGGCGTCCACCGCTGACACGAGGCGCCTTCTCGACCTCTGACCTTGACCTCTCGACCGCACTGACCTCTGCGGCGTGCTCGTCCAGGGCCAGGACGCGGCCACGGTGCCAGCCGCCCTGCCAGCGCACGGCCACGGCGCTGCCGGCCGGCACCGAGGCGGGCCGGTCCGGCCGCGGTCCGTAGTAGCGCCGCATGGCTGCTGCCAGCGTCTCGACACTGTCGTCGGCGCCGAGCTGCAGCAGCTGATCGGCGACTGCCGGCAGAAGGGCAGGGCGTCACAGACGGCACGCGCGCAGGACACCGACGCGGTCGGACAGGGGGCTGATGGGGCCTGGGCAGGGACTGGCCAGGACTAGAAAAGGGGCCGGTGGGAAGAGGGCAGAGGGCTGGCGGGGACTGGGTGAGGGACCGATGGGGACAGGGCAGAAAGCTGGCGGGAACTGGTTGGGTCAAGTGGAAGCGGCGCGTTTAGGGATAGCGCTCGACTGTGACGCCCGCACAGCCAGACAGGCACTTCACAGGTAGGATTCCTATCAAGGTGGCAACCATTGCGGTAGAACATTCGGGAGTACAGGGCCTCCATAACTGCCGTCGAGACACGATGACTCGACACCACTCCCTACAGCTATAACAAGTCAGAAGACGTGTCCCAGTAACGACTCTGGTAGAGATTACACAACGCAAGCGCCGCCATCACATCGCAACACCATGGCCAATAGGATATCGTCCGATCATGACGCCATGCTCTCCACCTCCATTACCAGGCCGCCAATCAAGACTTCACAGCACAGCGTGAACACCGAACAGCGCACGCGGCACGCCACCGCCCTGGACAAGCCTGGCGACCGCAGACAGCTGAGACAGACTGCAGAGCACAGTCAGCCACGGACAATAAACCGCAGGCAGCTGCAGACCACAGGCCGCATACCACAGACAGCTGCGGGCCACAGAACGCCCACCACATGCCGCAGACAGGCCACAAGCCAGACAGGACGCAGAGGAACAACAGAACGAAGGCGGGGCACAGACAGCAGACCACAGGCAGCCACGGACCATAGACCGCACAGGAACGAGGACCACAGACCGCAGACCGCAGACGGACCACAAGCCACCGACAGATTGCAGACCACATGCTGCAAAGAGACCGCAGACGGACCACAGAACCCAGACGGACCGCAGACAAACCCCCAGACAGACCGAAGACAGGCCATAGACAGACCACAGAACACAGACGAACCGCGGACGCACCCCAGACCCCAGACAGACTGCAGACGGACCGCACATCGCGGACAGACCGCAGACGGACCACACACCGCAGACAGACCGCAGACGGACCACACACCGCAGACAGACCGCAGACGGACCACAGAGCGCAGACAGACCGCAGACGGACCACACACCGCAGACAGACCGCAGACGGACCACACACCGCAGACAGACCGCAGACGGACCCCGCATCACTCACAGTTGGCGTTGACGGCGTGCGCCGGCCGCGCGCCGAACGGCAGCACCACGTAGAAGAGCGCGGGTGTCACCACTGCCGTGACGCGCACGTAGACGAGGCTGCCGGGCCGCAGCGCCAGAGGCCCGTCCGCCGGCCACCGCAGCCCCCAGTCGCCCTCCGCCTCACCGGCCGCCGTGCCGTCGCCAGGGTAGGCGATGACGTCATCCGAGGCGACCGTGACGTCGGCCGGGGCGGGCGCGACGGCCGGGGCCTGCGCAGCCACGTGGACCGAGAACGGTCGGTGGACGTTGAGGGGAGCGCGCAGGCGCTGTGGCCGACATGGCAGGGACAGCTGGCGAAGACCGCCACCGCAGCGTGCGTAACATCAGCGTCGGCACGACCGCTGGGCGTGAGAGACCCGACCCTGACAGGCCAGAAGCGGCTGTCGGCAGCACGGGGCCTGCGCCCGGCACGCGACTTCACGCCGCTTAGACCCGGGCCGTCTCACGCCGCTCACGAAACCAACTGCAGCCCGGGTGGCCGGACGCACGACCTGGCCCCGGACACAGCTGCCTGCTCCGGCGACGAGCGGCGCTGGGTGATGCCCGTTGCATGACGCGCCCGCGTATTAACGAGCGTCGCATCGGGACCTCAAACGAACCATCGCCCGTCGTTGAACAAGGCCTGCAACCCGTCGCGGCGTGACACCGTCTGAGCCGGCTCAGCGCGCCCGCCGCCGGCCATCATGACACCTGGCGCACCTGCCGGCTGGCGGGCTCCGGGGCTTCCTCGACCTGCCAGTGCAGGGCCAGGCCTTCCGCCGCCAGCTGCTCCGTGAGGGCGACCACCCGGGCGGCCAGCACCGTGTACAGCACGACCGCCAGACACTCGCTGGTGGGGAGCCGCGCGGTGTCAGACAGCCCGACACGCGCTGCCGGTCAAGACGGCCGGGCGCGACACACATGCAATGCGGATGTCGCGACGGAACAGAGTCGAACTGGGGGACGCGATACAGGCTGGACATTGAGCTGCATCTAGCGTAATGTTTGAAGCATCACCAAGCACAGGTAACGCCACAGGCATCCGCTATTTTCTAAAATCTCCGGGTTTCCAAAACAGCGTTACGCTTCAATTTTAAGTCGCCAAAGACATATATCCTGGCAATACGATGAGCACGATCCTCAAATGCACCACCTCACTCATCCGCAGACTCATCCGCACAACACTGTCCTTCAAAACCGGACACTATACACATGCCGAATGCAATGTGTTCCCAACCTACGCCAGATACCAAGCGTGAGTCATCTGGACATCCTGGCCGGCTAACTGAAGCACGGACCTCGTCAACATGTAGTCGATGATGATTTGGGGCTTTGGGGCGCATCGACTGCAACTGTCCATGCAGGGCCCCAGTTTAGATTTAGTCGATCACATATATTTTAACAGCGTGCAATGCATGGCACGCTGCAATGCTGCCACACGCGACAAGCAGCTCGACCGACCCGGCCGGTCAGCAACACGGCGAGACCCTCGGCGCCGGTGCGGCGCGGCACTGACTCGGTGCTCTCAGAGCGGACGACGTGGGCGTTGATCTCCTCCGGCCCGTCCACCAGCTCCAGAAACCGCTCGCACGCCGCCTCCGAGTACACCGGCTCACCCTCTGCGGGCGCCACCTGCCGGCGCGCACACCACCCCCTCAGGGAGCGCCTGGCACCGGTGTGCGGCACCAGACCGCAAGCCGAGTATTACCAGACCATGTTGCTTCAGGGCACAGCACCTGAATTCAGGGTACACCACCGGTCACGTGACCGCAAGGCACACTCTCTTCAGGGCACACCATCGATCACGTGATCTCAATATACGTTATTCGACCTCCGGGAGCGGCACGCATGGATTGGACACATGGACACATGGGCACCACATATAGACGGATTGGTCCCATCACAAGAAGAACCATCCCAAGTATCCTCCATCGCGTCTCCAACCCATTCCCTGCAGCCGCCGTCACCAGATGTACGGCGAGCGCCCACGAGCCTTCCACGCGGTCCGGCCCGGCGGGTGGCACGCACCCCGGAGCAGGCGGCGCGCACGATGTAGACAGGCACGGCAGCAAAGCGCTCGAGCATGGGGCGCAGGTGGGCGGCCGACAGCAGCATCTCGTCGCCGTAGTCGACGCAGCGCACCCGGTACTCCGCCGCGCCGTCGCCGCTCTGTCGGCCGGGCGGGGAGCGGTCGGCCGGGGGGAGCGGTCGGCCGAGGGAGCGGTCGACCGGAGGGAGCGGTAGGCCGAGGGAGCGGTCGGCCGGGCAGGGGGCAGGGTGGCGCCAGCGAAGACAAGCTCCGACCAGGCGTGGTCTCTCCCGTCTCGGATGCGGTCTCCTTCTGCCGCCAGCCAGCAGGCATCAAATGATCCTTGTTCGCATTTATATGGCTGGTTAATGTGGGGCGTGATGTTGATACGCATTAGGCTTGCTTGAGCACAACTTCAACACACATTACCCAGATCTGTAACTCGTCCTTGCTCAGAGCATGACTTCTTTTTGGGTGGAGCTGGTTACTTATAAATAGGTCTGAAAGTTGATCTGATAATTTTTGAATGTAGGCAACGCCCCCCCCCCCCTCCACCCCACATAATTACAGTGACATACGAAGAACTTATGCCGCCAACCATGCCCTACCCTGAGCACTGCGCCCCCGCACGGGCGCATGACCGCAGCACCGCACACGACACCGGTCACCACTGACCGGCGACTCCAGCACCTCCAGCACCACGACGCGGCACCACTCATCGCCGTCGTCGCCGCGCGCCGCCCAGAACGAGCCGACCTGCAGCAGGTCACTCTGGAGCCCGAGCCGCGGGTGGGCCGGCAGACGGCCGTACACCGCCGCCATCTCGTGACGGAAGCTGCCGGGGTACCTCCCGTTATACAGCGTCAGCCTGTGGTGACAAAATTAGTGCGTCTAGCGGTTACTTGTACGTTAGCTCCCCTTTCTGTTTGAAAGTGGTAGTTTGCATAGTTCAAAACCATGAGTACAGTACGTAGGCACCAAGTGCGAAAAACACAACACTGAAGCAGCAATAGTTCGCACCTGTCAAAGTTATCCTCAGTCTCGAAGCAGATGTAAAATTCCTCTGGGTGTTTGGCATTGACAACTGTCACGTTGTGGTGAATTCGCTGTCTGCATAGTTCCAGGGTCTGCCGGTAGATGGGTCTGCTATCCCAGCACACCTGGAGATCCCGATACTTGGGTGGATCGATTAAAGTCTGCGGCACGGTCTTGGCGAGACTAACAGGCTCGCCGCCAGCCAATCTGGAACGGTGCATGCGGTGCATAAACATCAAGACCAGACATCAGTCCTGGCATCATCCGAAAACGGGAAAAGGGTCAGATTCTGAGAGAACTGGAAAACGTCGCGTACCGTCGAGGACTGCCATATAACTCTGGGACAGCTCTTTGGCTTAGCTTATGCAAAGACGCATACGCGAAGTAAGGGATTTCTTGCCATGCACTCATAGGCAAACTAAAAACTTCATTGAAGCAAACCATTTTAAGGTGGTTAAACAGCTAATTTTGCACCATTTGAATCCTTCAACTTGTTACTCAACTTTGTCACCAGGACCAATAAGCCTCTGCACTACGATGCCGAGATAAGAATGCAATTCACTCACCCTCCCAACTACACGCAAGACGTCCCTACACATACTCTTGCTCTTCCGCAGCGCATACCAGTTTTACCCCCTACACCAACTTAGCTGTCGACTCTACTGAAAACAGATTACGCGAAGAGTAAAAGTAGGCCGCCAAAAAGGCTAAAACAGAACACAGCTGCACCAGACTCTGCAACAGCGCTACCCCCCGCCATTCGTATGTCCACACATTACTCCCATCAACATCAGGGCACTTCCGCTGCCTGGGTCGCCACTGGCCACAGGCAGCGGGGACGGGCCGAGCTCAGCCGGCCCCACCGCTGACCTGGTATGGTCGGCGGCCGGAGGCGGCGGCGCCACCTGCTCGCGGTCCCGGCGAGCCGGCTCCTCGCGGTCCGGCGCCGCCGGCCGGTCCGGGCCAGACGCCGGCTCCGCGTGCGACAGCCAGTCCAGCACCAGGCTCTGCCGGTCGGCCGGCGAGCGCGGCACGAACCGCTCCAGCACCTCCGTCAGCACCAGCTCGTGACTGTCCACCTGACGGGGATCGTGGGTCGCCGTGTTGGCATCCGTCTGCTTGGTCGGTGTTGGGAAACAGCAACAGGTACCCCAACCAGTAACGATTCCACAACTGCACCCATCGCCACAAGACTGCTGCCTTCCCACCCTCGCACGCCCCCCCCCCCCCCCCCCCCCCCCCCCCCCCCACCACATCACTTGAGCTGCCTCCCAGCCCCCGGTTGGTCGGGCGGGAGCCCCCCGTGGCCGGCGCAGGGCCGCCCGTCCACCACCCGCTCCGTCGACTGACCTGCTCCTGAGCCGACTCCTCCTCCACGAGCAGTGCCCTGCTGACGGTGCGGGCCACGTCCACGTCCACGTCCGATCCCCCCACATGCACGGTCACGACCAGGTCGACCCGCAGCGCTGTGGCCGTCGCCTCCGGCCCGTGGAACAGCGCCCGCACGCGCGCCGTCGGCGAGAGCAGCGCGTCCACAATGAAGCCCTGCAGCAGGCGGCGCGCGCCGGGCGGGCCGTACGTCGCCTGGGGGCGCGCGGGGAGGCGCCGTGAGGAGCACGGATGAGACGAACACAGCACTCTCACCGGGACTTGGGCGGCCGAGACGCCCGCCTACGGCCCGGCAGGAGCCGACACCAGCCGAGGAGAGAACTGCCGCTACACCAGCACCATCACACCAGCCACAGCCGGCGGCTCCAAACACAAGAGCCGAACAGCCGGCCGAGACGCCCGCCGACGGCCCGGCAGGAGCCGACACCAGCAGAGGAGAGAACTGCCACTGCACCAGCACCATCACACCAGCCACAGCCGGCGGCTCCAAACACAAGAGCCGAACAGCCGGCCGAGACGCCCGCCCGACAGCCCGGCAGGAGCCGACACCAGCAGAGGAGAGAACTGCCACTGCACCAGCACCATCACACCAGCCACAGCCGGCGGCTCCAAACACAAGAGCCGAACAGCCGGCCGAGACACCCGCCCGACAGCCCGGCAGGAGCCGACACCAGCCGAGGAGAGAACCGCCGCTACACCAGGATCATCACACCAACCACAGCCGGCGGCTCCAAACATAAGAGCCGAACAGCCAGACGCCAGAGTTGAAGTCAGGTGCTCAGAGTTTACCACGCTGATCCGCTCGCCCGCCTGCTAACTGTACCACAGGCGCCAGGCAATACGACCACGCGGCGCGGCGGCGCGCAAGGGAACCCGCGGCGGAACACTCACTCCACGGAGCGTGCACGGGATGGCGCAGGCCGGCATGCGGCGCAGGGTATCGGGCAGGCGCCGACACTGCTGCAGCGGCACCACGTCGTAGTTGCCGTAGTCCACGAAGAACACGTCTACATTGGCGCCGATCCCGCTGGAACGAGACAAGGCCCGGTTACGGACGCTGGAGCATGGCCGTGTTGAAGATGCTCCTGTCTAGGACCACTGGCAACTGGCTGGCAACTGGCACTGACAACCAACGGCGCGAAGGTCGACAGGCTGGAGCTGCTGCTGGATTATCTGTGCAGTATATCAATGCACCACTAAGCCCCAAAGCCTGGTACTAAACCACATACACTGAAACCACGGGAACCTGCTGGTCGAGCCCGATACCCTACACCAGGCACATGCTGTCTTACCCAGGACCACAGTACAGATAACGGTTACATGGTCTCCACAGAGCCACGAGCCTTCCACAGACAAGCGCCCCAGACACCACTGAGCTGTGCCAGAACACAGACGAGTCAGACATGTTGGCGCGTTTCGTGCGTGCCCACACTGCGCGCCAGGTGGGACTCGGAGCTCGCGGCGCCAGCTGACCTGGTGTCTGGTGTGGCGAGCACGACCCTGGCCCGGTACCAGGCCTCGTCCCAGCTGGCGAACACCAGGTCACCGCTCTTCGGGACACCGCTCAGCGCGTACCGCCCGTCCGCCGCTATCGAACTGAAACACGCCGCCCGTGCCGTCAGTGCGCGGTTCTCGTCGCCGGCTGAGGATGCGACGTGCACAGGTCGACCCTCTAGGCGCGTCAGGCGTCAACTGATGGTGTCGCTAGTGAGCAAAACGCTATATAGCGCACACGATGCGAATTCAGCAACAGCGTACGAGATCGGCCGGCATTGACGGCACCCACTCGAAGCACCGCCAAGTTCTCCAACGTCCAACGCTCTTGTGGGGCGACCAGGCCAAGTTATCTGCCTCCTGGAGGAGCGAGCGAGCCTAGCCGGAACAGAGCGCTCTCACCCGAGGTCGTTGCGCAGCGTATCGAGGCCGGCCTCGTCCTCCTTCAGGTTCAGGTAGAGCAGCTCACTACCGTCCTCCTGCTCCTCCTTACTGGCCAGCGCCACGTCACACACGCTCTTCATGTTCACCAGCCTGGTACACACAGCAAGCCTGGATCAATGTCAGCCTTTGGGGACACAGGGAGGGGAGGGGCTCACTGTCCCGGGAGGATGGTGACCAGCAGCAGCTGTAGTCCCTCTTTGGTCAATGCCATTGATGTGAAATGCGTGATGAAAATCGCTTGAAGCTCCATGGTTGACGAAAGCCAATCAATCACCTTCGCAGATATTGTGGCATACTTTATCATACAACATACAACACACTTATCATCAATATTCATTTACATCTAATACGGTAGTTGACCGGGAAACGTTACGCGAATTCAACCCCAGATGCTATAAGGCCACCACAGGCTGGCACACCACCCGTGTCCGCGGAGACGTTACGTTAGAAGTCGTCGGGAGGAGCGAGGACAGCCCCGCCAGCTGCCGGGCTGGGGCGGTGACAGTACCTGCTGGGTATGTCTGGGACGGCGTCCCGGCCCGGACCGGCCGGCTCCAGGGGAGACTCGGAGCGCGAGCTCGACTCCTCGCCGGGCCGCCTTAGACCGCGCATCGCCACGTTCCTGAAGCGAACGGCCGCAATGAACGCCAGATGACGCTGCCCGTCGACTGCTGTCGAATTACTACACAGTGAGCCTACGACATGGCCTAGCGTAGTTTACGAAACAGGATTCCGAAATGCTTCCAGAGTTACGACAGTTCCGAAATGCATCCAGTTGGACACGCATGACGCAAATGAAACTTAATGTTCCCAGGGTTACGGGGCCCCGGCGGTCTCCGCACGCACGTTTCAGTCGCTGCTCATCCATTACCCTTTGAACCCGGACCTTGACACATAACCCGCCCAGCCAATTTTCCAGTCTCACGCGACTAAATACTCAGATGACTACCAGAGTCCAGCTCGATGCTGAATGTCCACTACTGAGCAACTACAGCAAGACAGCTGGAGCTGGCCTCTAACAACACACTCAGTGTGCATTGGCACCACAGATGAAGTGTATCACCTTCACTGCAGGACAAGAACCGGGGAATATGCCGCGGGTAAAACTGCTGGCTACCTCGTCAAAACCGACGCTACATCACCATAGCACCAGCCCGTGGACGACCGTGCGTCACACTTCACGCAACGCTCCTGTGAGCCGGAAACATCGCCACACCTCATCGCGAGGGCTCACTTGTCTGCGCGGCGGCCGAGCTTTTCTGGTGGCGAAAGTCGCTGCGAAGAGCCGGCGCTGGCGCTGGCTGCGACTGGCGAGCCCCGTCGCGGCCCAGCTGAGTGGTATGAGCCAGACTCATGCAGGCTGGTGGAGGACGGACGCAGCACGGAGCCAGAGCCATCTCTTGGCAATGACTTCAAGTCAGAGTCCAGATGAGCACCAAGAGATGAAGTCAATTCCCAAGACTCTGAGTGCTTCATCTTCATCACCGTGTCATATTTCTGCTGCATCAAGTCAGCAGCATCAGCTGCAGCTGTAATTTGGTGGAGAAGCTCTGCATTAAGCTGGCTCAGCTGCTGTAGTTGGTTTCTGTTGGATGTCTCAACTACTGTAGATGCCTGAAACAGAAGGGACTTGAAAATCAACCTTCAAGTGCACTTCCAACAATACCTTGAAATGCTGTGACATCACTGGCTACTGAATCCATTAAAAAATGTTGCAAAAAGTGCAAATTGTTCATAATGTAAATGGAGTATAGGATTATTTAATCACAACTGGCAGGCACAGCTTATTCAACACCTCTTCTAGGCTGTTCCAATCAATACTTGGAATATCATTGATCTACAACACAATCCAGTAAGGCTTACAATTTTCAGGTACTCTGTGATGCTGTCATTGAACCTGGATTGTTCATGCTCTAGGAGAGAATGCTGGAGACGAATAGAGTGTCTCTTCCCTTCCATCAAAAACTCTTCAGTTGCTGGGCTCTTTAAGAAGAGAAATCTGTGTCACATAAAACAGCTGAAAAGCAAAAGTATCACATCCCAAAATAGGCTTGAGTGTGATAAATAAACACTAGGATTTGTGATGCCAAACAAAAGTGACATTCCACATTAAGGAAAAACTGACAAATTTAAGCAGCACAAAATGTTTCTTTCAATCTTTTGATAGTAGTCAGCTACAGGAATGCAACTACTTCCATACTACATGCTTATAAACAGCATAAATACTGTAGAAATTCGTCAGTATTTATGGACAAGCACTAACAGGTTCGATGTTTCATATCTTACAAGTCAACTTAATCAAAATCAAATATCTGACCTGACACAAATACCAGCCAACAACAAAAACCGTACTCAGTCGTCACTGGGGATTTACGACATGTTCAGATGCTGAACCGTATGGGGTCACCCACCTCGCACCTTGGCAGGAGGGACGGGAGCCGGGGGGAGCTGAGCTCGTAGCTCTGGTTTCACAAACGCGAGGCACACAAAATCGTACCCCACTTCGAAAGACCGCACCACCGGGAACACCTGAGTACGAATATAGCGTGGCGGTTACAAGACCCCGACCTTCACCAGTGACTACCAGCGCCGCTCACTCAGATGACCTGGCCTGCGGACAACCCACGCTCTTGGTAAATAAACATTAACTCTCCGCCAACAGGGTTAAGACGATTTTAGGAAGTGTAGCGAACTCGTTACTGAGGCCAGCTTTGTAGACCGAAGCCAGCTAGTGATGACGTAACTGCGAGAACGAATGCGAGACAAATAGCCCAAATGCTTGCTACTGAAGACTTGGACAAAAAACAACACACAAAGTGAAGCGTGTTTTGCCTACTGCTGCTGACATCTCAGGATATCAAAGTAAATCACGTGGACCTGTGGTTTGAATTATCATAAGGTACGACTAGCGTTGTGAAATAAAGGGCATTCACGAAATTCAATTGAACATCAAGCTTACGCCCGAGGTCATGGCTACGATAGAAAACGAGCAGCGAGGTGATGTGGCCAGAATATGACGGAGCTTGCCATTTAAAGATTCTTCTGTGTTTGTCACTGACTGTGAGGAGGAGCTGATAAACTTACCAATGAAACATAGAGCAACATTTTCTTCCATGGTTTAGCCCGCCTCCCCACTGTTCGGGAGAGGAGCTGGAAAGGGGGGGGGGGGAGGAGCCGAATGTTCAGGGACACTCATCCCATTTTGGATTCCCAACATTGGGGATATCCCCCCCCCCCAGTGGTTACGCCCCTGTGCTCAAAAAACAACTACGTGCCGCGTCCTAGCCCAGTTCCCCAGTCGCACCGCCCGGAAACTCTCACGGATGCTCCCATGCGTTGTCTGCTCGTGCTGTGTCGTGGCCATTACAAACAGCAGATGTATCGGCGGGCGTCAAGCTGCACTACATTCAACGGCCATACAGCGGCCATACGGCGGCCCAGACGTGCTGTGTCGTGGCCATTACAAACAGAAGCTGTATCGGCGGACGTCGAGCTGCACTACATACAGCAGCCATACAGCGACCCAGACGTGCTGCCGGCAGGGCCTTGTCTCCTGCTGCCGACACCCGGCGCATGGTCCTCAGAGGCCCGACGGACGCTCCAACTGCCGCACTGGCCTCAGCCAGCGACCGCTCAGAACACGATCGCTATCGACCACCTCATGCACAGTGTGTAGGCAATCAACTACCACGCGCCCAGCGCGTAGGCAATCAGCCAACACGTGCACAGCGCGTAAGCAATCAACCACCAAACGTCCAGCTTGTAAGAAATCAACCACCACACGCACAGCGCGTAGGCAACTGACACTAGTTCACTGCTGTACGCCGGCGGGACATGCGGGAGCTGCCGGCCGCCCGCCGGCTGACAGCGGTGGACCAAGGGCCTAGAAATGCGGGCCTGAACGCTCCTGCCTCAGCGGAGTCAAGCGACTCCCCGTCCGCGGCACCGGTGGCTGTCCGGGGACCGCGCGGGAGCGCCGGTCAACACGATTCTGCTACGCGAACGTGACTCAATATTCCGACCCATGCCAGGGCACATTGGTGTGGTTTACGAGCAGGTCGGCTGACGTCACGTTTGGTCGATGTGCCCCGCCGCAGGGGGTTGCGCGGAAGGTCGAATGTCGACGTCACGCGGGACGACTGCCGCATCCTTCTGTGCTAACCCGCGCAAAATTTATATCCGCACTTCCATTCCGATTCGGTACTTCTCTTGGCTGTTGCCCGGCACTGCGCTGACTGGTTCTCTGAGCGACTTATGAGACAGAGAACCACAAAAGGTGCGGTACACACCCTGCTTTGAGTAACCTCACCATGTTGCATCGACATATTCGGTGGTCGTAGCTTGAAAATTGTATTTAGTCTCAACAACGTCAGAACAGTTTGGAGGTACCAAAACCATTATGATTCCAACCACACACATGTTTTAATACTCAATGATAGCCATCACGACCATTCCACAGTGACCCCAGCAATGCCTTCGAAAGATCCGTGAACAGAAGCACAGAGCACGTGACGGCTGTCAGTGGTCTTAAGGCCACACCCAGCGGCCCTATCACCCCGCAACCACCATATCAGAAGACTAGCTATTCCTGCCCTGCAGCCGGAGCTCCCGGGGAAGGCATGACTGAATGTTATTGTGCCAGTCTAGACACATCCCATGGGTGCAATGCAAAACATATACAAACCGCGTGGGACCAAAATGGTCATGACGTTGCGCAGGGTTGTCTCTATTCAGAGGTGTCGGAAAGCCGAAAACTACAAAACGACTGAAATCACACTTGAAGTCAATTTCTTTCGTCGTCATCGTCACAACTCAGCAGCGCAGTGAACATTTCGAGAGAGGCACGCGCATGGGTGTCATACGCCATCTCTTCCTTACGTCATGACCGTACTAGTACGAGACAGCTGTCCTCGGGCACCAGGCCTACATCCCTTACTGACATCCCGAGTGCCAACAAATCACTGGGAACAACACCTTGCGAGATGTCACACATCCGAGCCCGCCGTCTCTCGCCCCATGCACAAACCACCCGACCAAGTCTCGGGTCAATCACAAACGAGCCACTCGACATTCGAGCCAATCACAAACAAACCACTCAACCTTCGGACCAATCACAGACAAGCTCGCTGACTATTGGAGCAATCACAAATGAGCCCGCTCACTCTCGGACCAGCCATAAACGTGCCCGTTAACTCTGGGACCAATCACAATCACTGAGGAGCCGATCTTGTTCGCAGCTCTTCAAGAGAACATTCCCAACCCAAAGCGCACGGAACTTTACCCTCATCACCTGACATTTCGTCTCGTCTCGGGCAACCCCGTGCTGTCGCGTGGCAGCCTGTGCCTGCCGTTTTGTCACGTCATGGGACGCCCTCGTTCTCCCGTCACGTGACTGACTTGCGCCATGTATCGACGCGGGGGAGACATGTACTCGTCCGTCAGGTCACGTGGAGGTGTTCGCATTGTTCTGTTCCGTTAATCAAAAAACGTCATCAGGCTGCCATGCTGCAGTGTCCCGACCCTGTCTCGTCGCGCCATAGTTGCATGCTGACGTTCAAAGAAAGCGACCGAGCTGTATCGTAAGACGAGAGCGTCCTCCCGTACGGTGAGCGGCCATTTTGCGCGTTTATGTGATTGTGCCGCACCCTGATGTGACATCGCACTTCTGCAGCGGCAGTCGCACTACCATCACTGTCCCTGCGGCAAGGACCCGCATTTCTAAAGGTTCCTGAAACTAGCCCCGTCACACAGCGTTCCCGCCGTCCGGTCAATACGCGTGCAATATGTTCCGTCGCATGCCCGCCTGTCCTTGTGGCATCTTCACGTGTCCGCCCCTCCCTGTTGTCCGGTCATGTGTCGGCTGCCCCTGCTGTCTTGTCACGTGTCCATCTGTCCCTGTTGTCCGATCATGTGAAGGTCTGTCCCTGCTGTCAGGTCACGTCTCCGTCCGACCCTGTGTCAGCTGTCCCTGTTGTCTGGTCACGTGTCGGTCTGTCGCTGCTATCTGGTCACGGGTCGGTCTGTCCCTGTTGTCTGGTCACGTGCCGGTCCGTCCCTGTTGTCCGGTCACGTGTCGATCTGTCCCTGCTCCCCCTTCACGTGTCCGCCTGCCACCGCCGTCCCGTCTCGATCCACCTCTCCGCTCCGCCCCGTCACACCCCCGTCCGTCGCCGCTGTCCGCTCGCCGTCCGCTTGTCCCTGCTGCCGAGCGTCGATCCGGGCGCAGCGCGGACACTGTCCGTCGCGCCGGACGTAGCAGTGCTGGTGCATGACGCGGCCGCAGCGCGGACACGGCACCACGTGCGCGTCGAATGCGAACAGCACCTCATCGCCGGCGCACACCTCGCAGATGTGGCCCTTGCCACGACACGCCTGCCGCAGGGATGCCGGGTCACGGGGGTGCGGACGGCAGACGCGCCGAGTCGCGGCGAGCACGCCAGCTCAGAAGCGATAGGAACATCGGGTCAGCACAGCACGAAAAGAAAACAGACACGGCAACGCTGCGGACAGCTTGGGACACACTTCGCGACAAAAGCTTTCCGTGCCAATATTCCAAGGAGCACCGTGAGCTGCGCGTGGCGTCGGCGGACTGCGGACCGCGATCCGGGTACGGGAAACATCGCACGGGCACGTCCACCGCCTCCCACTGGGCGCAACACGGGCCGCCGGCCGCGGCCAGCAGTGCAGCCGGCGCGCACCACCAGGAGCGCGGCGTCACTACCGACTAGCCGGGTCGGTGGAGCGGCCGTCAGCCACGGACGGGACGCGGCCCGGCAGCGGCTCGCAGGGCACGCACCTCACACTCCTCGCGGATGTGTTTGGCGAACTTGGCGTGGACGGCCAGCAGGAAGGCGAGTAGCTGGCCCGAGCGCACCTCCATTAGGTCGCGCATGCTGTACAGGTGCGAGGACTCGACGAAGTACTGCCGGCCGCCGAACGCCAGTAGTATGCGCGACTCAAGCGCGGCGCGGCACGACAGGAAGTACTGCTTCATCAGCATCATCTCCTCCCGCAGCTTCTGCGCACGCGGGCACAGGCGGGGTCTGTTAAGACCAGAATGGCCAGAAGTGTGGGACAGCTGGTGAGCAATATCTGCAGTGAGTACTCAGGAACAGAAACCTTAATTCGTTTATGTCGCTTTTCACTCTGACGCCAATGTAAAAGCAAGGACGATTGCGGGTGTCTGCGACCGATCGCCGATTGTGACGAAAGACCCCGCAGCTGGACAAATGCAAGTAAAATCACGCCAGATGCAGATGCTTACGCTGCTGTTTTTAGCTGAGCGACTTACCTTAACGTGCCGAAGCTCGTCGACGAAGTTGAAGAGGAACGGGTTGGCTTTCTCCACGTCCAGGACTGGTTTGCCACACATCAGCTCCAGGTACTGTCTCGTGCCACAGGACACCTGGCAACGCCGGTAGGCCGTCCTCGTGAACACGTAGAACAGCGTCCATGGCACTGGTCACATCGTCCGTGCATTGATCTTGCTCGCTCCAAATCGAAGCAAATCGGCTATGGCTAAATTGTCGATGACACGTAGAGTCGGGCGTCGAGACCACTACACGGACTTAGAGGAGCACATGCGTACTTTAGTTTGCGCGAAATTGGGTCAAATTGCTATTTGTCTGCTTGAGAATGGGTCAGCTTCCATTATCAGCTCCAGTGTGGGCACCTGCCCCCCCGCACCTCGCCATGCAGCACCGTGCCCTTCACGCGAAAGACCTTCCGAATACTGGCCATATTCTAAAATCAGGTGGGAACAGGCAAGCATACAACTCGGATCATCGTTATAAAAGCAATCATCAGCTATATTTTCATTCTCTTCTAATCGTAGAGATTCACTGCTACATGCACTTTCCTTTTGCTCATAACGCGCATGCATCGCCATCGGCATGTGGTCACTAGACTGGCTCCTTGCATGCACCGATCGACGCAGAGGCTCATTTATAGGGAGAAGAGTGAACAAGAAAGTGTTACAACCTGTTACAGAATTTTTCAGCGACTGTATGCCACAACCCCAACAAGGAAGTGTTACAACCCAAACCAAACACCAAACATATACTCGCGAGCCAGGCCCAGAGCACCACAAACGGTGCTGCCACCTACCGAGTACTTGTCGAAGTCCCAGTTGTGGATGACGCGGCCAGGGACGACGGCGCGGTCATCCCAGTGGCAGACGGAGCAGAAGTAGAGGCCCGTGTAGTCGCAGAGCCGCGGGCTGTACACGCTGGGATCCCCGCTGGGCAGCCCCGTCATCTGGTAGTCGGGCTCTGTGGCAGACCGCGGGACAAGACCGTAGGAGATCGCAGGACAGACATGTAAAACGCCACAGCCAACTGCTCTACAGCAGACTGCAAGGCAGGTCGTCCATGCAAGACTATAGGACGGGGTTGTGGGAGACCATAGTACGCGCCTACGGAACCCCTGTAGGACACCACGCGACATCCCCGTAGGAAACCAAACGACGGTCTCCCCATATTTCATGAAAGCCCTGTATGAGACTTGTGAAAACCCATCAAATCTCCATAACACCCCACTGCACGGTTCTGAAGGGTAGTACACAATGGGCCTGCGCCGAGCGATTCTGCAGGGCAGCTCTACTGTCGGCAGCTGCTGTCACGCATGGGCGTTCCACGCGCATGACAGGCGAACAGGCACAGTCTTGACACCTGTCTGCAGGTGACGCCAGCCAGCGAGCGGGTTGCGCCTACGACTCGGGCCGGCATGGGACGTCCCGTCTCTTGACTGTCCGGCCCTGCATACCGCGAGGGCGTCGACTCCAGCTGACCTGGCATGACCCGGCGGCCGCACTCGGCGCACTTGAACTGCTGATGCGAGAGGCCGCGCTCCGGGCAGATGCGCAGGTCGTACTCGGGCTCATCCTGCACACGCTCCACGGCGCAGTTGCGCCGCACCGCCTCCAGGCAGGCGGCGTGCGCGTGCAGGCCGCACCCTGGCCGCGCGTCCAGGAGAGCGGCGTCAGAGAAGTCGTCGCGGCGGCGCGACCCAGCCGGCAGCCGACCTATGCAGGAACGGACCCACCACGCCGGCTGGACGCGCAGCACGGAGGCGCGTCCCTAACGCGTGCTACAAGCAAGACAGAAGGTGGCTGAGGCTCACAACGCGATGTGGAAACAACTCAGCATTTCAATGACAATTTTTTTTAAAGGCGACACCTGGGAACACAGCGCAACAAAATAGTGCGCCCGTTTTCGATCCCCAGGCACTGACCAACCACTGGACCACCTAAACCAATGGTGCCCTGAGTGGGCCGAGCGGCGGATGGGACGGGCCGGGCGGTCGTACCCTGGCAGGTGTACCAGAGGTGGACGAGCGCCACGATCACGCCGGCGCACTGGTCGCAGTACTCGCGGCGGCGCGACACGCGCTGTGGCTGCAGCAGGTGGCCGCGCAGGCGGCGGGCGCCCTCGGGCAGCGGCGCGGCGCCCTCGCGCAGCTCCAGCCGGTGCAGGCGCAGCTCCACCAGCCGGCGCACCAGCCGGCGCCGCTCGTCGGAGCTGCGCTCGCTCTCCAGGATGGCAGCCTTGCACTCCTGCACAGCGCGCTCGATCTCCTGTTCGGTGGTGTAGCCAAAGTGGCCCTGTGCACGGGCGGACAGCACGTCCGGTATGGGTCAGGCATGGAGAAGGTGGTGTGGGAAGATTGTGATGGCTTACATGATGCTGGCTTGGTCATCTTACCACAGCTCCATTATTTGAATGTGACAGCACCCAACTCAACAAGGTTCTCAATGCTATGTTTCCAAAGCACTTACAGTGCCACATGACTATACTTGAGGGGCTGCAGCTGCTGTCACCTAACCATCTGGCTGTAACTGGCAATGGTCTACTGTGAATTGAAGAAACATAGCCCAACCCAAGCAACAATGGTTTCATTCAGTCCAGATGCAGGCAAAGGGAGGATGATGAGGACTTCATTTGTCAAATAAGAGCTTGCTGCTGCATATCTGAAAATGTATCACCAGTCTACCAAGCCACCAGAGCAGAAGACTTGTGCTTAGGAAAAACATTCATTTTAATATAATCTTTGATCTCCTTTCAATGTTTGTGCATGTTGCTGTGTCTGCAGCACATACACTTTGCCATCATTACCCACCTCTTGGTGGTCCAGATTTGATTCAGATGATTCATCTCCACTGTCCACATTATTGCCAAGCTCCCCTGGTGAGGGTGTTGCAGGAGCCTCCTGCACTGATCTTGCATGCAAGAACATCTTGTGACTTAAGCCTGTGTGCAGAAATCAAAGGTAATCAACTCTTTGGCACAGCAAGGTGAACAGTCAAATGATTAAACATAGGCCAAAGTGATTAGGCATCTTCAGTCATGGCTAAAATTGCTTTTATGACATACACAGAGAATGCCTGCACAAATGATCTTGGCTTAATAGGCACAGGCTGCCTGCTTGTTTCTTGACACAATTCTGCTTGAAAACCCACCAATTGATTAAAAAGAAGATGCATCTCAAACAAGAAAGACTAATATGCATTTGTAAATATGTTGTTACTACATGTAGATACTACCCCTAGCATGCAGCTACCATATGAAAGTACTAACTTTTCTACCTCTAGCATGACCCATCCACACCTCTAACAATAGATGTAACAAAACTCCCCACACCTCTAATAATAATTGATGTGTTGATCTTTGAGTAAGGCCACTGAATTGTGAGCTGATGACAATCCCGGTTTAGTGACATGATCAGCTGACATAATCTATGCTATTGCTGGGTCTCCATGAAATATTGGTGGCTGCTCATAAAGTTTTGGCATATGCCCAGCCAGGGCTGGACCATGCTGTTTATATGGGGCTTCTTAGGCAGGGCCCAGCCATGCCCCACCTGGCCCTAACTTTCCCCCAATGGTCTTTCATTTTTGTATAGCTTATTAAAATATTTGTCTATGTCCACATTTCATGAATATCTGGCCATCTCACAGAATAGCTATATAATCAATGAATGCAATGCTGCTACCTACAAGTATTCATATGCATAATAAAAGCCCCTTGATGCAACAACCATCTTTTCATTCCCAGATGGTAAAAGTTTTCAAGTTCAACACTGTCCACAAAAAGAGGGACCAGTGTTAACAAAATTAAAACCTTTTACACATACGTGGGTAATCAAAAGCACTTAAATACCTATAATGGGTGTCTGAGACTTGTAGTTGTTCTCAAAATCAAGGAAATTGTGCATGATTCTGATCTGGAAGATAATACTCAGTCAACAAGTAGCAGAAATGATAGCCAAAGGTAATCATTATCACAGAGGGTATGGCACCTAGCTTTTCAAAAATAACCATCATCTGTTTTTGTCAATACCTTCTAAACATTGGTGAACAACAAAAGCAGTACATCCATAAAGCAGATATAGAACTCCAAAACTTGTTGTTACCATCTGAACAGCCACATCTCAAGGTTTAATGGCAAGAATCATGTGTGTGAAAACCCTTACGAAACCATGAATTACTGAGGGATTGAGCCACCATGTTGAGCTGTTACGGCTAAGGAGCGAGAGACCGGAATTATATCATGTATCACACGTCGTATGCATGTATCATCATACACGTCACAAACAGTAACTCATACATGCATCACATCACCTCCTGTGGCGCGTGGCGTGCCGACTGCAATCAATCGATGGCCTGTGATCTACAGAGGCCTGGTAAATGATTATCAACCATTTAACTACATCACTTAGTCAACTAACGGATCGTCAAATACGGCGTCCACGGGTTTGTTATTGTACCAAGGTTCCCTCAAACTCAGGGAGCATAAAATGTATATGATATGATGAACAGTAAATGACGTCATCTATAGTCAAGATGGAATCAAGTCTGATATCGCTAGCCACAGTTTGCTCAAGGAAAGGTGGTATATTTAGTGTCTTGTGAACCGATGTATAGGACACATCAGTTCATAAAGGTTTGCGGGTGCCACGTGCAGGACCACGATAAGCTCCTAAGTCATGATCGGATGAGCTTTACGTGGCCTATTAACAGGTTGCCCAAAATGACCAAACAGGCGTGCGGAACACTCAAATCATCGTGTAATGTTTAGATCAGACCTATGACAACGGTAAGGTTTGATACCAAAGGGTAAGGCAGTACAGTGCCGCTTTTCAAGACGTATCAAGGGGAAAAGGGCCCTCAGCTTAACCTTTCGTATCCTCCGAACATTATTGCGCAACCGGCTTCAGCCTAACGAATACCAAATCCGGAATCGTCTAGTGATCCACCCACCCCATCCCAAACTGAAAGGCCGAAAAAAGACGCAAATCGACTGAAAAACTAGTGGTTTAAGCTTTGGTTATCACCTGACTGCATTGACATTAGGCCCGTCACTCAGAAGTGAAGGAGCATGCGAAAACGCGAAAAAGGCATCGGTTAGGCTTCTCTCGCAAATTGGCAATCATGGCCGCGTGCCATGGGATACCATCTATGTCTAGGAGAAATCGCGTGACAATAAAAAACGTGCCTTCATCTGCGCGAACAGGGTGACCCATCTCCCGGTGGCGAAATCACGTCCATCCCACAGCGCAGCGCCGGCCATCATCAACAGCAACATAGACTCTAACAAGCCAGCGGCGTGTATTGTTCGTGTTTGGTCTTGCGTTGGCAGCGGCAGTGGCCATTGGAGGACATCGTCTGAACATCGCGCCGCATTTCGGCCCCGTGTTGGCTGCAGGAGCCGCGACCGAATCGCAGGTTAGCGTGGTCCGCCTGTCGCACCGCAATTAGGAACTAGGGTCTGTCGGCCCACGGTCCATGCCCATTGTTCTACCACACCAGTGAAAAGGGCCACAGGTCAAAAAGGGCGGTGTAATGGGGATACGAAAAACACATCAGGTAAATTGAGATGTCACGGTTTTCCGCAAGCAACAGCAACGGTCATGTTAGGAAACAGTCACGCAACTGATAAACTTGGTCTGGCTGGGCAAGACAAACATTTTTCGCAAATGCTTTAGTTTATGGGCACCAAACCTTTTTAATCCCGGTTAATCACAGACCGTCCACCGCTACGCTCGCTTCCCGCAGTCACAATACAAAACAAAATACGTGAGTTGTGCTGCAGTGCCCAAGCGATCCAAGCCGACCCGACCCCAACCCAACATCAGTCGACGACATACAGCGCCTCTCGACATCCCAAACAAGCACAGTCCACCGGCGCGCTTATCACATTGGCACGGTCCAGCGTCCGCAGGTGGCCCCTTCACTCCGCTAGCGCCGCCACCGGCTCTGCACCCGCGCCGTGGCTGACGCCGACCGTCTCGATGGTTCAGCTGCCGGGCCCTCCGGCTGAGGCTCGGCCTCATCCGGCTGCGAGTCGGCCTCCTCTTTCTGCGAGTCGGCCTTTCCGCTTCTTCACCATCTCGGCAGGTACCGGAAGCGCAGCATGCATCCTCCTGCGGGGGCGGGGGGGGGGGGGAGGGTGGTCAGCGACCGGGCGAACCGACCGAGACGTCAGCACCGACGCGCTGCTGGGGACTCAGGCGCAAGCCATCATGCCCTCCACGCGTGGCATCGCCCTCGCGAAGGGCACACGCGGTGACGTCAGCCGGGGAGCGGAAACGCAATCTTCAATTGACCGGCACTAGTTCGGTGCTCAGGCGAACACATTTGGCGACACCATGACAGCGGCTATAATTCTAGATAACGTTTCAGCCGGTGGGAATCGCTGCATTCGAACAGTGGAGTGAAACAGTTTGACAATATAAGTGAGGGGTTTAACTACATGTTAGGTGCTGCCAACGTGCGCAGCAGGTTGGCGCTTCTGCTAAGAGGTTTGGAAAACTTGCCTAACACAAATGCTAGGTTCTGACCACTTAATGCACGCAAGTATCCCATGCGGTTTTATAATCCCACACTGCAGCAATTTTTTTACAAAATTTCACAAACTTCTTTCGAATATACCTTTTTGAACCAAGCTTAAAACCTGACAAAGGCAGACACCACTCAACCCTCATAATATACCTTCTGCTGTCGGTACTGCGTCCACCCTAGACGCAACCAACTCTGCTGCCAAGCAC